GGTGCCAGTAGACTTTCTGGCATCCACAATCTATTAACTTTGGACCAATTCATCTGATGTTAAATTAAGAGTGTGTGATTTCTTGCTCCTGTTTTACATGCTAGAGATTTTGTTCTATAGCTGCCTACTTATTATGACCATCTTTCTTAGAGTGTTACTTTATGATAATCTTGGAGACAGATGATGCCTATAAGGGTCTTTTAAGTACCTATTTTTGAGCCAAGGACTTTCTCTCAACAAAGGTACAATTGTCTCATTTTGTCTTTTAGGAAGTTCATAAATATGGTTCTGAGAGATATATACATATATATGTATATATATGTAAATACTTATAAACACACATATATATGTGTTCAGTAAAGTATATAGTGAAGGAGAATTTTAGGTGAAAATTAGTCTCAAAATTGCATATGCAGGTTTTGTTTTTTAAATTTAGTTTTATCATCAAGTCATTCTATGGTGTTGTCATGAAAATGTAAACTTTGGAATTTTACTTAAACTTAATATATATATGTATACATGCATATATATACTACAGATATATATATGTATATATATATAAAAACAATCAGTGAAAAAAGGCCATGAATTTGAAAGAAAGTAGGGAAGGAAAGGGACAGGGGAAATGGTGTAGTTATAATCTCAAAAGTAAAAATAAATAAATTGAAAAAATACAGCAGCTCTGTCTATATGTCAAGTGGAAAGAAAATGTTTATGAAATTGCAAATTTTATACTTAGTAAGCCTAGTAAATATAGCAAGATATAAAGACAACAAGAAATACCCATCATTTCATCTTCTATGGACTCATCCATGCTTAGAAATCATAGTCATGGGGAATTTTTATACAGAATTAAAACATTTTAATTTAATATGCATTGTATAATATGTAATTATAAAGATTTGGGTAAATGATTCTTTCATTTTCTGTTCAGTTTTCTTTTTCCTCTTTTTCAAAAATTAGCATGTATAAATACTTATATTATTCAAGTAAAAATTTTTAGTAATGTATTGAGTATTTTGCTCACATTTATGTCCTATCATAAAATGAAAATCAAGTTTAGGATATTATGTTACAATAATAAAGCATAAGTGAACCCCCGTGTGCTATATTTTTCCAGAATTTATTGAAGTATTATCAGTTAACTGTATTTTGTATTTAAATCGTAAGGAGAACACACTGCTGACTGGAATAGCTTTCCACTGCTGTAATGATAAAGTTTGATTACTATATGCTCCCCTTGGCCCATTTATATTGCTACAGATATATAACTTACTGTTTAAATCCATTGAGTATTTTCTAGACCATTGAGAGTGTTTGCTAATTAATTTTAAGAAACCCACAGTAAATATATCTCCTTTCATTTTCATCTTTTATTTTTTCAATTTAAATAACCCACAATAATCTGTATGCCAGCATAATAAAATCATTAAGGAAACATAAGGATTCGCTTTAATTTTATATCAGCAATAGTTACTTCTATGCTTGGTAATGAAACTATTTTTACATTTTTCAAGAGCTATTGTTTTCCTTATACGATGAGGGAGATAATTGCAAGCTTTAAGTTCTTTTTCAATTAATTTCGTGGTACTCTGGAGTAAAACAGAGACAAGCAGAGGTAAAGTTTATTGCAACTGAATTTTCAAGCTACATCAGAAAAATGAAAATGGCGTACTCACTTGCTCTTTAAAACTAAGAATTGAGTAAATAGTTGAAAAACTCATGTTGTTTAAATGTGCATGTGGTACTCAGTAGACACACACACATGCAACATTAGGTTCTGAGGATGGAAATGTCTAAAAGATGTCTTATCTTCTCCTGAAGCTGCTTCACTTCTCATAAAGTGTGTTTCACAAGCAAAATAACCCCCAAAAACGAAAGAAAGAAAGAAAGAAAGAATGAATGAATGAATGAATGAATGAAAGAAAGAAAGAGAGGACAGTAACTGAAACTAAGTTCAAGGTGCTGTCTCTCAACCCTTAAATACCCTTTAGTCTAGAATTTGCAATCGTGGTGGACCAGAGGTTTCTGGGCCTCTGTGATAAACTTAATTAATTAGCTATCTTTAGACATTCAGTGTTCTTTGTCTTTTTACATGTAGCAGCTTTTCGGAAATAAGATAGCTGGAGTGATAGGGATAAAGTGGGAGGGACCCATCTAGAATCTCCCTGAGAATTTTCCTTCCTCTGAATCTCCATCCCCTCTTACTTTTTGTATCCTTTTATAATTTGTACAGATTAGTTGAGGAAAAGACACAGAAAGTTTTAGCAGATAGAAGTGTTTGTAACCATTTCTTTCTCTCTTCTTCTCCAAAGCTTCCTTGCTCATGGAATACACTCCCAATCTAATCAACTTGGGTTATTTGGGTTTGGCCATGGTACTTGGTATAACTCGTGGAATGAGAACAGAAATTGATTCTTTGCCAACTTTGACCCAAAAGGAATTTTGTACCTGCTTGCTTCCTACTGTTCATGCATTTCCCAATTGAGAGGGTGGGGCACATGGCTGGTAACCATAGTTACTACATAATGAGACATAAGGAGCAAACTTAACTACTCTGCAGTCTAAACCAAGGCCAGATGCTGAAAATTCAGTCAATGTCAAAGAAGCCTAGAAGAGACCAAGATAATTCATAATTTCCTGTGTAAGAAAAATGACACAAAGACACACAATTTTGTTGTTACTTGTTATATAGAATAATTATAATGAAATAAGACCTAGACAATTCTTAGGGCCAAGAATCTCACTCAGCGTACTTAGTGTTAAGAAGCAGAGTTTGGATGAACTTCCTTTCAATACAGGTATTTTCAGATCCTTGCTGGAGTTGTACTGGCATAGATACAAGTGTATGCTATTAAAGTTCCTATGGCTGATCATTAGTCTTTAGAAAGCAGACATTTTAGGGTTCATATCTGAACTAGATCTTGAGTTAAAATCATGAGTGACTTCACTAACTCTTCTTCCACTCATGATGTACACTGGTACCTCTTAAGAACGACTGCTTTTCTGTATTTGAAAACTGATAACACGATGTGGGGATTTGAATTTGAGAGTCTTTGGGTGGGTGTCACAGTATCAAGGTTAACTTTTGTGAGTTCTTTGAGATTTCAAACAGCAGATATGAATCTGTTCTTTTAGGTGACTGAAATGTACGGGTGAATTCTCAGCGTCTTCTCCACTAGCCCTCAAACACAGAAACAAACAACCTTCCCCGAAACAATCTAAATTCCAATTTCAAGAGATATTCTGTTCTTTTGAATAGACTGATCCAGTCTGTTAATGATGTTTGTTTGCACAGGATGTTCAAAGTTGGCCCTTCTGAATTCTAGTATGTCTAAGTAAATATGCTAAAACTCTTGTTCTTTCTATTCACACATTTCAATTCTCTCAGTCTTGCCCCATTCTGTGCCCTGAATATTTGTCTTCTGTGCTCCATAAAACCTGTAAACTCTTAAAATGGAAATATGCTGACGTTTTTCTAAGTACTAACTTAGATTTCATTTCCTGATATCCCAGGAAATAAGACAGATATGGGTAAATTCCTTTTAAAATTTGACCATGCAGTTTCTACTATCACCCAGACTCCTTAGGACATTCATACACAAATGCATACGCGTTGAAACCCAGGTTAAACAAATAAGCAAGTTTGTAATTTTCACATGGGGAATATGTTATAAAACCACAAATTGATTTGGACTATTTAAAAGATATAATAAAGTGTCAATAAAGGAAGTCATTATCTTGAAGACAATCATCACTTCTTGCTGAGAAAAGTGGACTTTGTTCAACACCATTTTTTTCTATCTCATGTAACATTTGCATTATCTTGTGACCAAAGTGTATTTACTCACACAGTTTAACTTAATCAGTTGAACTAGAATGCATTCATAGAAAACACTAAGGGGACTGTGCGTACATTTATAATTTATCTCAGGGAGCTGATACAGCATCAAATGTTCACAATAAGTTAATATTGCTTTACTATGTTGAAGTTCATCATTTTAAGAAAAATAATAGTTTGCTGTGTTGGAAAATTTAGGGGGTTTCTTTGCATCAGTGGTTCTCAATCTGTGGGTTGAGAGCCTTTTGGGAGTTTCATATCAATGTCCTGCACATCAGATACTTACATTATTATCCATAACAGTAGCAAAATTATAGTTATGATATGGCAACTAAATAACTTTATGATTGGGGGTCACTGCAATATGAGGAACTGTGTTAAAAGGTCAGGTTGCAGCATTAGGAAGGTTAAGATGCACTGCTTTAGATAATAGATGCTTCTTAGAAATTATCTTATAAGAAGAAAATATTTTTCTATTTCTATCTGGCTATGCAGATAAACAGAAACTCATATTTATTTTTACTATGTCTTATTGAGAGAGGTATTGAAATTTCGACAAACTTTATACAGCAAATGGTTTAATTACAATGCACTCAAATTATAGCCTTAGATAAGCACTCTTTCCTACTGACCTACAGTTGCCTAGGAGCTTGAAGGTAGGGGTACAAAGTAATGGAAACCAGGTCATAGCACCAACAAAAAATGATGCAGTTCTTGATGGGGAGTAATTACCATAATATTTTGCAATTTGGTAATACATTACCAAAGCATACAGATATCAGTGTCTCAGTTTATATTCTAAAAATATATTAAGAAAATAATATGTGTATATATGTGCATGTATCTATGTATCGTGCCCACATTTAAAATCACCATGTATATCAATTTAAATAATTTTTCAATGTATTATAAGTATTTAAATATACAGATACAAAATAATTCCATGGTGCATCTAATGACTGTTGATATTTAAATAACAGGAAGCCATTGCACATGATGTACATAGCAGATATCAGTGATTTATTGAGTATTTTCTTCAATAACCTCATTTTGCAAGATTTAGTGATTTAAGAATCAATGTTGAATACACCTAATGAATTTTTGATCAATCTGACATTTTTGTGCATGCATTAGACACATTTCCCCTCAGGACACTTACCTTTGGTAAGGAAGCCCGGGATCCAGAACTCTGTGTCGTCATAGTAAGCACGGTGGTAATGCCCAAAGCTACTCTTGCTGGGGCTGCATCCATGTTAATCCAGAATGAGACCCAAGACAGAATAACAATCAGAAGGCTGGGAATGTACATCTGGATCAAGTAGTAGCCCATCTGCCGCTCAAGGTGGAATCGCACTTCTATGCATGTAAACTTTCCTAGTTGTTCATAAAATAAATGCAACCATTAAATAAAAGCCGGGTTTTGTCATGCCGTCCGTCAAATGTGACTTACTTTTCATAATAATTTTACTGTAAGAATTTCTACTAAAACGAAGAGACACATTCAAACTGGGTTTTTCCTTTCCTTTTATTTTTTTTCTGTTTGCATCTGGAAGCAATGTGACAAGGGAGTGAACTCTTCCAGGAACTAGTATGCAATCCTATTTTCATGTTCAAATAGCTTTTCATACTTGTCAAAGTGCTCAAAGATCTGTTTTTTGTTCAGTTTCTAACACTTGTTCTGAGATATATGTTTATTATGTAAAGGTTATCTACATTTTGTTTTCCAGCAGCTTCCATATGCTTATTTAGTCAGAGCTATTTTTTCAGTGAACTTTACACTTCCTATAAGCACTAAGAGATAAATGCAAAGGAAGATTAGTGGTTTCATAAATAATGCTTCAGAAAACTAAATATGTATTATTTTGCATTAATAACTTTTGAGATAATTTTAGAACACAGTGAAAAACAAATTAGTTACACACACTGTATAAATGTATGCCTTTATACCTGTGTTATATACCTCTTTCTTCAAATAAATGTTGTGAATGTTTGACTCAACATCACATTAATATGTTTACTTATCTCTACTACTTTGTTATCAGTCCTTCAAATAAATTGCCTTCTACGTGATTTGATTCTTGGATTTATTGTTTACTCTTTAAGTATCCTCTGATACAAGTTAGTTACATGAGTGAAATTTTTATATGGTTTTTGAGCAGTGATAATTGAGGATACTTTCATTTCTTATATCATACAAATACTAGACAACTAGGTCTTCTGGAGAATTCCTACCCAATTAATTGCTTGAAGTAATCACTCATAATTGTGGGCAAAAATATAAAGGTAGGCAAATGTACTTCCTGCTAAAATGAGTCTCTTGACCCTATATCATCAAAATTATCCCCCAGATGTCTACAGAGTCATCTATTATTCTGTGTTGACAGTGTCCTTTTAAATTTACATCCTCAGAGAATCTGTGAATATAGCTTCATTTGCAAACAATTGACTTGAAGATATAATCAAGGAATTCTTTTCTGTGTTAATGGGGCCCTATTCTAATATCACTGATGTCCTTATAGGAAGAGAGATATCTGGCTACAGAGACACGCATGAATGCAGAGATCAGCAGGTGACTATGGAGAAAGAGACTAAAGTGATGTAAGTCAACAAAAACGAAGAGTTGTCAGAAACAGGAAACTAAGAAAAGGCCATGGAAGGAACCTTCCTTGGAGCCTCCAAAGTAAACATATATTTTCTGTTATGTGATTATTTTGTATTTAGCTTCTAGAGCTGTGAGAGAATGAAATTATGTTGGCATAATCTACCAAATGTATGGTAGTCTGTGATTATAGTCTGAAGAATCTAATGTACAGCTATATATTACCTCTAGAAATCTTTACAGCATATCCTAAATGAAGTTATCAGTTTTTCTGTCATTAGAGAAATGGGCAAGGGCACTGCCATTGTCTTGCATGCTCTTTAATTTTATGCTTAGATGTTAACCTTGAACTTGCTCACAAGTTAGATAACACATTAATTTGTGAGTTGAAAATGACAATTAAGAATTAGATATTGTGAGTTGGCTAAGGAGACAAGGGAGACTGGGACTTTATGGGAGGAAAATGGAGCTGTCAGTTCTCGAAAATACTGAGGTCACAATGAATCATACTTTACCATAAAGACACAGTAAGAGTTACAGATGATGTTAGCATGCTAACATCAAACCATATACACATCACACTGAGGGGAAGCTTGACTTGTGAAAGTTTAGTGGCATTTGCAGTTGGGATAAATTCATGGGAACAGCCCACAACAATTAGGAGAAGTGAATCAATTTCCTAAAGATATAAATACCACATAAAGTTTCTTAATCCTTGGTGTTAGTTATTTAATATGGTATCAAGAAAAAGGGTTCCTCTATCAGTCCAAGAAGTAACTGAAAGTATAAATTAATAAAAATATTTAAAAATATAGGAAATAGGAAAAATGTTTTGAATACATGAATGCATGGCAAATGATGTAATTATTTAAAACAAGTCCTTTTGTTAACATATATAGTGTTTATATCCAAAAATAGTTTAATATTTTTCTATAGAAATGAAACGTTTATAAGTGTTGCTCCATAAAGAATTTTCAAGTGTAACTGAGAATCAAGCATTTCTTTGATCTCATACAAATCAAATATGACAAGAATCAATGAGGGAAAGCACCCATAAATTTTGAAATTGTTCATTTTCTATTCCATGAGCTAAAACTGTTAAAATTAACATGACATTGAAATTTTAATAATCTGCATATTGTAAGATGCAAAATCATAATCATAGAGAAGAATATTCAGTCTCTACCTGTATTGTAGTGTTTAGTGCAGTATCGCAGATCTTTTTCTTCTTTCAACAGAAATTGAGGCAAAGTGAGTCCTTCGGCCACTTGTACTGGTGCCTCATCTTGCCATTCAAAAATGAGATCATTCATTGTGTACCCAACTAGACAAAATGTTATAGAAATGTTTATATCAAAAGCAGACATTCAAATAGAAGCAATAAGAACTTTTCTGTATAGTCAACACATGGAATGAGAGGATCACTAAGACCTAGAGTCTATCCCCTGAATAGTACATTTCTTGATTCCATTTTCATAACATAAGAAAATGAAGTGGGCTTGAAAGAACACAACATGGAAGATAGTATTTATTCTTTCAAGGGATGGAAAGCTCTTTGATTAATTTAGCATTTTTAAACATTATTCTGCTACCTTAGTTTCCAGGACTATTTGATAAAGCCAAATAGTCCCTGGTTAGAAAATTAATTAAAATATAAATATCTCTCAGTAAACTGTTAATGCCTTCCTTGCTTTAGTCACCTCAGGTTATATAATCTGCTTCTGGGTCCCAAGTCCCAACATGGACAAAATGGTCTGAAACTGCAAGTTTATTCTGTTTGGTAGAGATGATAAAAAAAATACACATTGAGTAGTTTGGATCAAAAATAGATATGTAATTACATTATTCTCTAGACCAGTCATTCTCAACCTTCTTTATATTGTGACCCTTTATTACAGTTCTTTATGTTATGCTGACCTGAGCCATAAATTAGTTTTTGCTGCTACTTCATAAATGTAATAAATCATAATGCATATCTAATATGCAGTATATCTGATATGGAACCTCAAAACTGTTACGACCCACAGGTTGAGAACCACTGCTCTAGACCTAATTATTGGTTTATTTATCCTAGAATGTCTTTCAATGATATAATGAATAATGATTGGACTGGTAATAAAAGAATGACTCACTCTTTTTGTTGTTTTGGTTTTTTTTTTCAAGACAGTTTTCTATGTATAGTTCTACATGTCCTGGAACTTACTCTGTAGATCAGACTGGCCTTGGACAAAGAAAACCACCCGCCTTTGCCTCCCTGAGTGCTGGGATTAAAGGCAAGCACCATCACAGCCCAGTAAGAACGATTCACTCTTATCCACAAATCATTTTTCTTACATGCATTATAAGTCACACTCTGTTTAAAGCCAACACAGATGCACATTTGTCAATGATCTAATAAGGGAAACATAAGCACCAGTTTCATCTGCTGCCATTTGAAGTATATATCTTAAATCCATACAAAGAATCACAGAAGACAAAGTATTTGAGATTATTTTTGCCCCAATTTAGAAAGATGGATGAAAAGATAAGTCAAACTTCTTTCACTTTTGACATAATAAAAGCTTTGTAGAATCTTTTGGAAACAGAAACTAGCTGCCTGAAATTCCATTGAAGCCAAGGTCGAATTTTCTCTCTTCCAGTTTATATGAGAACATATAACTTGTTATTGTGGTGAAGAACTGTTCACATCAAGTGATTAAAGAATGGACATTTTACAGCCATATTACTGTGTTTATTTGCAACTCATAGGAGGCTTAAGCTTGAAAGCCTTAGGTAAATAATGAAATGGCCATGTTTAAAGTTTATTTCCTTTATACTGAGTAACCCAATGAGAGTTGAAGGAAACTTAATTACATTATTGCCTCAGTAAACCTTCAAACACACTTTAATAGATTCACTTCCCCAGAGTCTGAAGTGCTTTAATATCCTTTTCCTTTGGCTAGCAAATCTTTATAGAAGCTAATATTATTAAGGAAAACAGACTTAGTAATGAGAGCAAGGTGATAAATTCATTTGCCTTGAATTGCATAATAATCTCACAATGAAAAAAATTTACACAAAGAACAGAGATTTTAACCTGAACTTGACATTCAATTTTATTTGATGACTATGGTGAAACCTGCAAATGGATGACTCAATTCTTGCTTTTCAACAAGTATTTATCGAATATAAACGCATAGTAAGTTATTCTGCTCCATTTGAGTTTGACCTTGAAAGCTATGGTCCCCAAATGAGGAACGCAAAAGAAAAAGAACCTCAGGAAAAAGGCAAATCAAGTTTGTTTGAAATAAGCTAAAAGCACACAAGGATTATAACAGATGACAGAAATGGCCCTTTCATTCAGATCTAGTGCACAAAGAAGCACACGAAAGGATCTGACAAATCAATACATGTTTGTGTTGGGTTAAATTCTGAGTTGAAAAATTGACTTTCTAAAAATACCTATAAGTAAAATTAGGAGATAAATATCTTTAGATAAAGGAAGTGATGTCACAAAATAGTACTTTATAACATGACAGTAGCCAGATCCTATCATACAACTCACAAAGCCCAAAGCACTTTCAAGGTCATAATAACACATTATTTGTTATTTTCATTGTTCTAATATTTTTCCCCATGTTGAAACAGTGATGGATAATGCTTTAACACAACACAGGCAGTGGCACCAGGCTGTGCTGGTGTGTTCCTAAGTGCCATATCCCTAGGTAAAGAATGCCATTTTCATTTAACCATGCTCATGCTTGATGAAGTAGTAAACACCTTTCTGTAAAATCAATGCTTCAAGAGTGTCCTTGATCTTGTCATTAGCAACAGGTACTAATCTACTACAGTCTGATCCTTATGTAATTATCCTTGTAAACTGTGTGGCAACTTGGGAAGCCTGTATATAGCATTTGTCTGCCTACTCTATATAAGGTACAACGCTAGTTGATTTAGAACAAACTGAACAAGATTTTCTTCTTGTTTTGTGTGAGTGTGTGTACACATCATTTTTACTTGAAAAGTGAAATGATACATTAACAATGTTTCCTAGGTACTTGACAGTCCACTTGTAAAACTGTACACGCTATGGAAATACCATGGGAAGGAAACTGGTAATAGTTTCTGTGAATAACAGATTCTGAAATTTCAAGCCAAAATTGGATGACTGAGAAATAATTTTCTGCTAATCTGCTTGAACAACCAAGAACCTAAGACTAGATACCCCAGGGACTAGGGTAAAATCAAAATAATTAAAATAAAAAACAGGCAAACAAACAAATCTCTGATAAAACATCCTGTTGTACTCATAGACCAGTGTCTTGCTCAGCCATCATCAGCGAAGCTGCCTTGTGCAGCAGATAGCAACAAATACAGAGACCCACCACCAGACATTATGCAGAGAATGGAACACTTTGGAACAGTCTTAAGTGGGAGGTCTCCATCAGATACCTCCCCTTGGAGCATAGAGAACCTTGCAGAAGAGGAAGTGGAAAGGGTGCAGGAACCAGAGGGGATGGAGTACACCAAGAAAACAAGACCCTCTAATTCAACAGGATAGATGCACATAGGAACTCACAGACTGAGGCAGTATGAACAGGGCCTGCAGGTCTGCACCAGATGGGGTCCCAGACCTGAGGGGAGAAGTGGACTCATGCCCCATCTGTAACCCAGAAGCTATCTACAATTGATAACCACCTGCAAATGAAAAAATAATATTCACGAAGGGATTCTCACTGGGGAAGAAAACTACTCTTAGGGGAAGGCTTCATGCCCAGCAGTAGATGACCAATAGAAAAATTCAATGGTATCTTTAGGGGTTCCTTTTTTCATAATGTATCAGGGCTGTTTTCAGCTTTTTTGTTTGTTTATTTTTGTTGGTCCCTCTTTTTACCCTATAGGTTCTGTGTGTGTGTGTGTGTGTGTGTTTCCAGTTTAGTGTTTTAGTGTAGTGTATAAATGAGTGAGTCATCTCTATCTGTTACATGTGACTTCTCTTGGTTCTTTTTATTTTGTTTAAATTTGTCTTATCTTATGTTATTTTATTGTCATCCTTTAGCATCCTGTTTGCTTTTTTTTAATGAGTAACAAAGGGAATGTGGGTCATGATGAGTGAGGAGAAAGGGAGGAACTGGAAGCAGAGGAAAGGGAAATCATAATTAGAATATCATATGTGAGAAAAAAGTTATTTTCAATAAGAGAGAAAATTTCTAAAGTGTTAAAGGAAGGTATTTTTAGTCTCTTAGGATTTCTTTTATTTTTCTTTTTTTCTGGTCAAGAAGGTGTTATTTTCCTCAATGAAAAAATAATACTTTATCCAGAAGAATTAACAAATGTGCAACTTTGAATACAAATGGTTGTGATTTAATTTTAAGTTTGGAAATGATTTTAAAAAGCTTAGAACTACTTTACTAACCCACCAATATAAAATCTTTTAGGACAAAGAAGTTAAAATCATACAATGGAAAAAAGAAAGCATAATCAACAAAAGGTGTGTGCTGATATGTAGAAGATCGCTGATAGATATATCTGTCTCCATGCACAAAACTTAAGTCCAAATGGATCAAAGACCTCAACATAAATTCAGTCACACTGAACTTCTTAGAAGAGAATGTGGGAAGTACCCTTTGTCAAATTGACACAGAAGACCACTTCCTGAACATAACACTAGTAGCACAGACACTGAGAATGACAATTAATAAATGGGATCTCCTAAAACTGAGAAGTTTCTGTAAGGCAAAGGATACAGTCAACAAGACAAAACAGCAGTCCACAGAAAGGGAAAAGATATTCACTAATCCCACACCTGACAGAGGGCTGATCTACAAAATATACAAAGAACTCAAGAAGCTAGTTGCCAAAACATCAATAACCCAATTAAAAATAGGGTACAGAACTAAATAGAGAATTCTCAATAGGGGAATATAAAATGGTTGAAAGACATCCTTAGCCATCAGGGAAGTACAGATCAGAACAACTCTGAGATACCATCTTAAGTCTGTCAGAATGGCTAAAATCAAAAACACCAACAACAGTTTATGCTGGAGAGGATGTGGAGAAAGGGGAACACTCCTCCATTGCTGGTGGGTTTTACAAAACAGTATGGTGATTTCTCAGGTAAATGGAAATCATTTTACCTCAAGACCCAGCAATTCCACTCTTAGGCATAAAACCAAAGGATGCACATTCACATCAGAAGGACATCTCTTCCACTATTCTCATAGCAGCATTATTTTAATGAGAACCTGGAATGAACCTAGATGCTCCTCAACTGAAGAATGGATAAGGAAAATGTGGTATGTTTACACAATGGAGTGCTACTCAGCAGGGGTGCGGGGGTAGGGG